TATTTTTTTTTTTTTTTTTTTGGTAAGCTGTATAGTTATCTTATGCAGTGATAGTGTGTTATTTTAATAAAAAAAAAATAGAGAATTATAAGTAAATACATGAGTTTCATATATGCAACTTAGGAAAATTTGATTTATCCACCTAATTTTATTAACTGAGTCCATCCACAGATAAACTTCATAGTAGTGTTGTCTAAAAGATTTTTAACGATTTAAGGTTATCTCACCATATAATCAATGAGAAACTCACGCATACTTGCGTATAATTCATTAAAAAAGGTCATACACTGCATACTACACAAGTTTAATAACCAAGTTTGGTCATTTGCATGGCCTAAAGATACCGAGGAACCTGCTTCTGACTGAAAAGTTTATATTACGTTATAATAACATAGTTCAAGTAGGATAACAAATACCATAATGCTCAGCCATCACACAAGCTGGTACATAAACAATATTACGACATCAAACAAACAAGCTCAAAAGTAAAACATAATAAATACATAATTATGACCTCAAACTATCCTGCAATACTAGAAGATAAACACAACCATATTCGACTGAAGATGCATCCATGAATGAACAGGACGTTTTATTGGCACAGTTTACATCTTAGAGGAAGCTTGCAGTAATCCAAAGTTCACTGTTGAGGCTGCAGAGTACAAATGCAAAGGATGTAGCCAAAAGATCAGTAACAAACCAATCACCATTCCTCAAAGGATAAAACTTACATACAGTACCATAAGTGTTATTGATTTTTTTTTAATCAATATTAGGATTTAACTTTGATAATCTGCATAATAAATGATTCTATTAAATGTAAATACATATTATTGAGTTAAAACTATAATTTTGATTGAAGAATAATACCAATCACACTTATGGTACTGCATATAAGGTTTGTCTTTCCTCATATATATATATATATATATATATAGTACCAGAAAACGTTTCTTGAAAAGATCAACAATTTCTTGAGGATCAACTCTTGTCTCTGTATAAGCATCGATCTTGTTCAACTCCTGTAAAAGAAACATTTTTTTTCACAAATGAATATCTCTTTAGTAACCAATATGTCTCAAAGGTGAGTAGTTTGTTTCGCTTCTTATCAAAGCCATGAGATTGAGGATCAAGTTCAAATGGAACAACCTGACAACAGTGACTAGTGAAGCATATGGAGATACTTGCTTGAAGTTCAGATTGATGATTATGATGAATTTATCATATAAATAAAGGGCAATTTCCATAAACAATGGACGAAATTTACACAGAACTGATTACCTCAAACCATGTTGCAAGTTTAGGCCTTCCTTCTGTGATGTCATGCTTGAACACCTCGGCAAAGACAACTTGGAATCTTTCAACAAATGGAACATAGGCAATATCCACCTGATCATCACAAGCATTTACAAATTATATGAAAGAAAAGCTATCATCATCATTGATATTATCAGATACTATACTAGTATACTAATATACTACTTTTAGATAAGCATCAAAATTTACTACTTTTAGATCAAATCATGACTACTTACATCATGATGAAATTTTTGGGTTTTACATCAAGCTAATTAGCAAACAAATCCTGATAAGATAAAGAAATATGGTAACTTATTCTAAGAGGTAAAGAGGAAATATGAAAACTAATCTTAAAGGATAATCTAAGATATGATAAGATATTTTCATTTACTTTAATATGTTAAATGTAACACGACAAGCATTAGTAATTAGCCTGAAATGCAGCAAGTTTAGAAGAAAAACAATTTTTTTGAAGACCATTAAATTTCAACTTACCAAACTGAATTGACCAAGCAAGAATGGCCCATCATCAAATTTACCAAGAGCATTCTCCAAGTATTCAAAAGCAGGGCCTGATTTAAATAATAACCATTTTAAGGACCATTTTGTATTTTGAAAGAAAAAGCTTTCTCCGACTCACAAACTTAAATATCTGGCTTACTGGCTTCCTGTACAGGATTCCCTTTCAATGAAGTGAAAAGGTCTTTGTTGAATGTATCAACATGGGATATCAATTGCTCACCGAACTCTTTCTTGGCAGGATCCTAAAAAAATATCTATTTAACATCAATAATTCACTCCAACAATTGAAAAGAGACGAGAGGCCACGAAGGGAAAAAGGAGAGCATGCGCAGTTCTTACACTGGGAAACAAAGGCGTCCCTTCAAAGTTCACATCTACATATTTGATCAAATCAAGACTTTCTCCCAATACCTTGCCATTGTGCTCCAAGGATGGCACCTATATATATATTTTAAGGAAACAAAGTCAATTATCAACTGGCTGAATCAAATTAGCTCAGTCAAATCAACATAGCACAGCAGCAACTAATTTTTTATCCTCTATAAATAATTCCTCACAGGGTAAAACCATTTTACATCTAATAGCAAACTCTATTTTGTTAACTTTATAATAACTACTTTAAGAGTTACACCAACAATGACTTCTGATTAGTTGCCATTGTAACAACTTTTACACTTTCATAGTTAAAAGGACATGGCTATTAAACTCATCCTCTATTATCCAAGTTACTCACTTTGTTTTCGGGGTAGACTTTCTCCTTATACCACGCTGGCCTGTCTCCAAGGTCTATGGGGACCAAATTGATCTTGTCTTGTAGCCCCTGTAGTTATTATAATTACAAACAAGAGAAAGAAGTGTGACAGAAAGTCAGAAAGAATAAAATAATAAGCTATCAATCACGCCAAGCATAATAAAAAAATAGACATTAAATCCAAAACGCAAGGCAGACTAAGATGAAATATATGAACAGATTATTATTCTACAAAGAGGACAACCTTGTAGTTCCTAGTGATCCATACACGTTGTGCATAGGGGCAAGAGTAACTGATGTACAACCTAAATGAATAGCAAATAAATATATAAGAAAATGGGCATGTGAAAAATGAAGGAAAAAGTGAATTTTGAAGTGTGAGAATGAACCTGGTGGTGCCATCAAAGAGAGGAGGTGGGTTGGCGGTGGAAGTTAACGGGGGAGGACGAACGCCACTGTGTGAGTTACAAAGAGAGAGCGTTAGAGAAGAGGAGAGTGTTGGAATTAAAAGTAACAGAGACAGTGAGAGAGTGGAATTGAGAGAATGAAGAGCGTTCATACAGAGTTGCCATAGAATCTGTTCTTCACCGAATCTGAAGTCTTGGATGGACAGAATCAGAATTGTGTCTAAGTTCAAGCAAGTTTGGCCCTTTTATAGAACTCGTGTCAGATGTCGCGTCGTCACCCATGACATAACTTTCCATATCACAACCTACTACATGCTTTTACAGGATTGAATGTCTATATTTATAATTTATAATTTATAAAATATATAAAGATAATAATTTAATTTAATGTGTATATTTTTTAAATGATTTTATTTTTAAATAATAAAAATAATATTAAAAATTAATTATTTTTACATATATAAAATTTAAATTTAAGACCTTGACTTTAAAGTGTAGTATTAATTAATTTAATAAATATCAACAATTTTTAAATATTTTTATTAAATAAATATATAGAGACATATACTTTGATCCCATTAATATTTATAATACATAATAAAGGAGATTGTTTTATTTGGTGTATACATTTAGTTAAGACGATTTTATCCTTAAATTTTGTAGTTATATCTATAACATTTATAATATATAATAAACAAAATTGTCTTATTTAGTTTAAACATTTTTTTAGATGATTTTATTCTTAAGTTTTTAAGTTATATCTATAACATATAATAAAAAAGATTGTCTCATTTGGTGTACATAATTTTTAAATAATTTTACAAAAAATAATATTAAAAATTAATTATTTTTATAAACATAAAATTCAAACTCAAAACTTTTATGTTTATGTTTGAAAATCAAACACAATACCAATTGATTTAATAAATAATAATTTTTTAACACTTTTAAATATTAATAACAAATATCGATAATTTTATAAAGATATAAAATATCTTAATTTTACTAATGTATAATAATATGTATTTCAAGAATTTAAATTATGGTTAAAATCCATTTTTTTATTTCTTATAGTTTGACATATTTAATCTTTTACTCTCTCACTGTAGTTTAAGTAAGATTGTTAGTCTCTATATTTATTTTTTAATCATTTTTAATTCTTCTAGTTTAAGATAAATCTTTTTAATTCTTATATTTGCAACTTTTTAATTTGTTGTCTTTATTATTAATTTCTTTAGACTTAAATATGTTTTTAGTCCCTTAAATTTAGGGTAAATTTGTTTTTGATCCCTCAAATTTAAATTTGATGTTTTTAGTTCTTATAATTTCAAAAAATCTTATTTTAGTCCTTATATTCAAATTTTAAGAAATTTATCAAATATTATTTATTTTATCTATTGGTATCCTTATTAGTGAAAATATCACATTAAATTCAATTGATATTGCATAATCGTCTGAATTTTTTACTTTCAGATATGTTATTAGTGGTCTAAAGGACTAAAATAAGATTTCTAAAAATTACAGGGACTAAAAACAAATTTATGTTAAATTTGAGGGACTAAAAACATATTTAAGCTATTTTTTATAATATCATTTTATGTTGATGTGACAGAGAATTTTAATTTTATAAAAAAAATGTCGTGAAGGTACAAATATAAGAATTAAAAAAAATCTTAAATTATATAAACAAAAAATATTAAAAAATAAATATAAAAATTAAAAAGTTCTATTTTAAATTATAGAGATTAAAAGATTAAAAAAAATTGAAATATAAAGAAAATATTTTAAGCTAAATTATGTTTAGGGATATAACTCGACATTATTAACTAAATTAAAGTAATCTCATCATTGAAGCCCCCTAATAGTTTGGAGCTGGAATTAATGTAGAATGGAAGAAAATAAAATGGAAATGGGGTGATTAAAATTTTTTAAAAAATCAGCCGTGATTAGGAGGTGAAATTGACAAGAATTAGGGAGATTTTTGTGTGATATTTTACGTCCAATGGTATACCTCTAATACTACCAGAATTTGAACGTTAAAATTTTCATGACAAAAATGTCTTCACTTATGAGTTACAGTACTTTCTAATTATATTTTCCAATAAATTATTGTGTTTCTTCTCCTAATATGGTAGGATCATAGTCAATTATGATTGACGTAATAATTACTCATCATTCATTTATATATTATTGAGAGGATTTATTTAATAAAGAATTCCATATTCTATTTTTATTGTGTACAAAAATCTTTTAAATCACCAACAATTACATCATCAGAAGTGAAATTAGTTTTTGCATGTTACAGTGATATTCAAATAAAAGATAATAGCAAATTATTATTAAAACATGATGTAAATTCTTTTATGATGGGAGTACTTGGAGAGGATTGATATTCTTCCAAGCTTTCCATGCAAGGACCGAAATGTTCCATGAGGTTATCACGTTTTGACCTTGGAATTCTCCTTTGAAGAAGCTTCAATGGAGGAGAAGCACCTTTGAGGAGGTTCGGTTACCTCTTAGAGAGGTGAAGAAGCTTGAAGAACCAAGCTTCTAGGAGAAGGAACTTTGAGAGAAAACTAGGAGAAGTTTTTCTCACGAATTTGACTCTTGAAAATGAGAGAGAATTTCTTAATTCTAAGTCTCATTAATGTCCAAAAGTGATTACAAGTGAAGAGAAAACGAAATTATAGGGAGAGGTAGCTTCTAGGAGAAGCTAACCTTAACCATGGTTCACTAGGAACCATGGTAAGGTGTAACTAACCTTCCATGGTTTATAAAACTTGTAGGAGAAGCTAACCTTGACCATGGTTCACTTAAGAACCATGGTAAGGTCAGCCTAACCTACCAAGGTTTAGAAACTTGGAAGGCAAGCTTCAAAACTTGAAGAAAGAACTAATGAATTTTGGCCAAGAACTAAGACACAAGCTAGGCGGTCAAGGCTCCAAAATGCTCCATGATTTATTTTGAAATTCTTTAATTTGGTTTAGTTAGGTTCATCATATGATGATGAGACCTAGCTAAATCAAATCTATGAAAAATTAGGAGCAAAATGAGTCTAATATGCCAAATTTTGCCTAGGCCCAATTCTGGCCCAATTACTAGTCACACCCTCAAGCATTGCTAAATGCCACCCCTTTTTCCATACTGAAAAAATATAAAATGAATGTATCAACAAAGGAGGTTAAATGGAGTTAAACTCTCCAAGTAACCCACCCTAAAATCAATATACAATCACTAATGAAAAACAAGTAAAGTGTCTCACAAATACAAGGCAAAATTAGACCTATACAAAGGAACTATGTACAAAATATATGAAAAAGGTCTTTAAGATCATCCCATTTCTCTTGGTTCTTTTAGTATATTACCCCTTAGATTCCTTGGCCTTGGCCATAGTCTATCATTTTATCTAACCGGGCTATTTGAAGTTGTTGTAACAAAAAATTAATTGTGCACACATACTCAACTCTCTACTGTGAAAACATGCAAACATTTATCTAAAGTCACATTAAGTATATGTTTGGACATTGTCTAATACCTATCTCCAACAAGTAATGAAATCATTGAATTCACGTAGCAACACTATCTCCAACAATTTTAATTATTAACCAAAATTTATTAAAAAATATAAATTTTATGATATGTCTCATTTAAAGAGTTTCTCTAAATTTAGTAGTAGAATTCATTAAAATTTATAATTTTTTTTTACTAATAATAAATAAAATATTATTATTGAGTATTAAAATAATTGTCACTAATATTTCTCATTTATAAAAAAAAATTGTATATACATTATATGTCAATTTCGCATCATCATAAAAACACTAGTATTGATCAACGTAATTTTAGATAACTTCAACTCATAAATAGTATTTGAATCGATTACCAAATTTAATAATCGAAAACGTAATCATAGGTTTAATTTTAGATAATCCTGTCCAAAATTCCTAATTGATTAAAACACTCTAGTATTTCAGCATAATTTTAATGACTCAGCCTTAAACCAAAAATACACTTAAATTTCATTCATACAAGATGCTTCCAAAGATTCAAGGGAAACAAACTCGGGTTTTGGTCCCTTTATGACTTGGCTCTTTGAAAAAATATTATAACAAATATAATTATTACAATAAATATATGATTATGAAAGGAGATCAATTGAAAGTTGATATGTATTTTATATGGTAATAAATGTTATAGTTTAAAAAATAATATTTATAAGTTAGAAAAACAATACAATGTATTTAGCGACCTTGATTAAACGTTTTTTTAAATCTATTATTAAAAAAAAAATCACCCTTTATAATGTTCTGATACATCCCTGAATGCGTAAGCGTTCAGTAAAGAGAAACGTATTCAAACGAAAGGACAAAACAATTGAGAAAAATGACAATTTTTGGTCCACAATTGGTTGGAGTTGGATACTAATCTGAATCAAAATTCTGTCTACATTCAAGCAAGTTCCCCTTTTAGAGCAATTTTAAAGTAGTTCCTACTTAGGTAACTATATCTTACTCAATTACATTATTAAAATGAGTTAATATGATTTTAATCTTTTGAATGAAATTTGTCTTTATATTTTTATAAGACATCTTTTAATTAATTAATTTATTTTTTGGATTCTCTTTCTCTCTCCGGACGAGACAATAATCAAAATTGTCCCATTTACTACATAATATTAATATATATATATATATATATAGGAGGGATCTGATTACTCTATGGAAAAAATCTACCTAAATTTACTCCGTTCAATAACTCATGTTCTACATCAAATTTTAACAATCCAACAGTTGAATTTGAAGTTCTTAATACATAGATCAAGTTTACAAATTTTTAAAAAATTTAAAAATTATTTGATATTTTATTTCATTAATTCAAACTGACAGATAATCATAAAATTATGTTATACATTGATTTGAATTAATGAAACGAAGTATCGAATGATTTTTAAATTTTTAAAAATTTTATAAATTTGATCTATGTTATAAAAATAAATAAATAAAATATTGAAACGTTACATGATAATCATGATTACACATTTCATTCATTTTTAAATTTTAAACAAGGATTTATTTTTATATATATATATATATATATATAAGAATAATTAATTTATATGAAATTTTTTTAGAACTATTATTCGTTTGAAATTTTTTTCAACTCTTTATTTCTTTTAATTTAGTATTAGTATTTTAATAATGATGATGTTAATAATAATAATAATTATAATACTATCCTTAATGGTGGTAGGAAAGTTTATTTTTAAAAAACTATGAACCAAATTTACTAATTAGTT